CTATTATTTCCTATTCATTTTACATATGATTTATTTGAATATATTTGTTTACTTGTTTCCCCCATCAGACTGTGAGCTCCTTGAGGGCAGGCTCTGTCTTTTGCCTCTCTTTGTATCCTCAGCTCTTAGCACAGATCTGCACAACTTGGCAGTATTACGGTAGGGGCCAAAATTAAAATAGGCTAACAGGGCAGCTGGATGGTACAATGGACAGAGCTCTGGCCTTGGAGCCAGGGGGACCTGAGTTCAAATCTACCCTCACATACTTGATACTTTCTAGCTGTGTGATGCTGGGCAAGTCACTTAACCCCAATTGCCTTGCCAAAAAAAAGAATAATGTTTCAGCGCAGCTAGGTGGCACAGTGGATAGAGCACTAGTCCTGGAGTCAGGAGGACCTGAGTTCAAATCTGGCCTCAGACACATAACACTCACTAACTGCGGGACTCTGGGCAAGTCATTTAACCCAAATTGCCTCATATATAAAAAACAAAACAAAACAAACAAACAAACAAAAAACCAAAATAGGCTGAACTTCTTCAGGCTGCGGATGGGTTTTTAGCAGCTAATTTCCCAAGTAATGGTATAATTAATGATTAAACTATTTTGCAAATAAACCATATTTTAAAAAAGGGAAATTTCAACTAATGTCAATTAATTACACCATAATGGATGAACAAGTTACGATATATAAATGTGATGGAATACTATTGTGCTATAAGAGATGATGGAGAGGGTTCCAGAGAAACCTGGAAGACTTGTATGAACTGATCAAAGTAAAGTAAACATAACCAGGAGAATAATTTATATAATGACAACAATATGGTAAAGGCAAACAACTTTGAAAGAATTAGGAGCTCTTCTTAACGTAATGACCAATCATGATTCCAGGGAACTAAAGATGAAACACCCTACCCACCTCTGGGTAGAGAGGTAAAGGACTCAGAGTACAGAATGAGACAAATATTTTTTGGACATGGCCAATATGGATATTTGTTTTGATTGACTACAAATATTTTAAACAGATTTTGCTTATCTTTTGTTTACAATTGGAGGAAGTGAGGTTCCATGGGTAAGAAGGCAGATTTTTGCCCATTGGAAAAAAATTTTTTTTCAAAAAAATGCCTGCTCAAAAATTATTAAGCTTGTTTTCCTCTTGAACGTTTTCCCTTTTCATTTCTTCTGTCTTCTGTTGATCAATGAGAGCTGCCTCCTTCATGATGACAAAGCTTCCCTGACCATTCTCTCCAGTTCTGGTTATCCTGTCAATCATACTCTTCTACTCACTGGTCATGGCTGGAAAGTCAGAATCTTTGCTCCTCATTGCCACTTCAAGGCGCTCCCTCTACCAATATCACTCAGTAACTTCTCCTCCTTTGAGGCTTTTCTATCTAGATTTATCACCCAATCAAGATCTCTACCAATCTCCAGGATACTCTCTTTTCTGAGGCAGCTAGTGGTACTGGCCACTGAAGTGCTGGGCCTACAGTCAGGAAGACCTGGGTTCAATCTGGCTGTAGACACTTACTAGCTGTATGACAGTTTCCTCATCTATAAGATGGGGATAATAATAGCACCAATATTCCAGGTTTGTTGCAAGGATCAATTGAGATAACAATTATAAAGCACTTAGCACAATGCCTGGCACATAGTAAATGCTACATAAATGTTAGCTATTGTTATTATATTTTTATTAGCTATATGATCCTGGGCATTATTCTATCATTGATCTTGCCCTGGCAAACCTTGGACTTGCATTTCTCCCACTTTCCACTGCCTTCACTCCTATTCATGTGCTGCTAAATGCAGTTGGAGGAAAATCACAAAACAATGCTGATCTGGTCCACTACACATTTATGTTGCATGGTATCAACTTGGCCCTCACCGTGGCAAAGCAATCCCTTTACACTTACCTAATTAATTCACTATCCTCCTTCTACAGTGACTTTTCAAAACCCTTTCATCCCTCCTCAAACTTCCTATGATTCTTTCCTCCCATCTTTTCAACCGAGAACCTTACTTTGTATTTCATTAAAAAATTGAGGCCATTTGCAGAGAGCCCCCTCTTCTCCTCTCCTTCTCATCTCACATCATTCCACTATATTCTATATCACCCTTGTCTCACATAAAGGAGGAGCCCTTCTCCTTGCCAAGAAAACCTCTTCTACATATACACATGATCCTATTTCTCCCTGTATTCTCCAGCAGATTGCCCCTTTTATCATCTCTACTCTCTCAATAATTTCCAATCTCTCCTTTTCTACTGGCTGTTTCCCTGTTGCTTATAAAATATGCCCATCTCTCTCCATCCTCCAAAAACGTATGTAATCTAACCCCAGAATTATCATCCTTTATCATTCTTCTCTTTCATGGGTAAACTCCTTGAAAAGGCTATCTACAATAGATACTCCCACTTCTTTTCCTTTCACTCTTTGATTCTATATGGTCTGGGAACCATCTCTCCCAAGTTACCAGTGATCTCTTTGTCAGATCTAATGGCTTTTTCTTACTCCTCATCTTCTTGATCTTTCCACAGTCTTTGATGCCATTGATCACCCTTTTCTTCTTGATGTTTTCTTTTCATGGTTTTCTTGGCACTATTCAAGCCTGGTTCCCTTTCTCCCTGTCTGACCACTCCTTCTCGATTTTCTTTGCTGAATCTCCATCCAGGTCATGATCACTAACGGTGAGTGTCCCTTAACATTTTGTCCTTTTCCCTCTTCTCTTCTCCATTTATATTATTTGTTTGCTGATCTCATCGGTCCCACGGATTTAATTATCAATCATACGTAGATGATTCTAAGAGTTATTTATCCACCCCCAAGTTCTCTGCTGACATCCAGTCTCCAAACTCCCTGTTGGACACCTCAGACTGGATGTCCCATAGAACTCTTTAGCTCATATGTCCCAAATTGAACTCATTATCTTTCCCCCTAGGCCCTCCCTTCTTCCTAACTTCCCTATTACTCTTAAGGCCATCACCATCCTCCACTGCCTTGCCTCCTTCTCTCCTCTGATACTTCCACAATCCTAATGCAAGCCCTCATCACCTTATATATTGGACTACTCCAATAGCATTTGGTTAGTCCCTCTGTCTCAAATTCTCCCCACTTCAGTACATCCTCCACTCAGCTGTCTAAGTCACCTTCCTAAAGCACAGGTATGATCATGTCACCTTCCTATTCAATAAACTCCAATGGCTCTTTATCACCTCTAGGATCAAATATAAAATCTCTGCTCAGCTGCCTTTTCTCTCCCCACATTTCTGCTTCTTCTTCATCTCCTTTTTTTTTTTTTTTGGTGAGGCAGTTGGGGTTAAGTGACTTGCCCAGAGTCACACAGCTAGTAAGTGTTATGTGTCTGAGGCCAGATTTCAACTCCTGACTTCAGGGCCAGTGCTCTGTCCACTGTGCCACCTAGCTGCTCCCCCATTTCTGCTTTTTTCAAAAGGTCTTATGAGCTGAGGGTAGGATAACAAAAGCTACCCCTCTCCTTTCCCCAACACACACACACACACACACACACACACACACACACACACACACACACACACACACCCCAGCAGGGCTACAGAATTACAGAGATTTAGAGGTAGAGACTAAGATGTCTGAATTGTGACACAGAGAGCTTGGTGGAGTTAAAGAGCCTGTAAGTGGTAGACAGTGTCCGAAGAAATGACTTGTCAGTCATAGGCATTGTCCCCCTATTACTACCCACTGCCTTGCCTCCCTCTGCTTCCACACAAACATCCACAGCCCTACCCCTGACACAATGGTCTGGGAGGGGCCAGGGAACTGGCTTCCTCTTTAGAGATCCCTATCTGTATCCTTACCTCTGGCCCAAGAGATACAGCAACAAGCCAAGAAGAGAAGGAGATTCAGGCACAGGGTGTTGGAGACTAACAAAGACATAGGTGTTTAAAAAAGGTTTTGATAAACTTAAGAATGATGGAGCCAGAATGAGTTATTGTGGGAAATCAGGGTGTTTTCGGGGGAGATCCTAATTTTTAAACTTGACATCCCTTGGCAATGTGTCAAAATATTAGGCTGGACTGAGCAGGGATCTTCGGTCCATTTCCAAACTAGCATTATATTTAAGGGAAGAGATAGAGACTCAGGGACGGAAAGATTCACACAGGTACAGGCAGAGAAAAGAAAGAGGAAGAAGAGGAGAGAAACAGACAGACAGACAGAGATAGAGACAGAGAGAAAGTGTGAGAGGAAGGACAAAGACCAAGGAACAAGGAGAGAGAAATAAAGTCACTAGGAGAAATGTAGGGAGAAAAGAAACATAGGGAGAGATAGACGGAGAGATACATGTAGAAAGTGAGAGAGAGAAGCAAGGAAAGACAGAGGCATGAGAGAGAGAGCCATAGGGGGGAAAAATTTGTGTGGAGAGAAAAATCAGAAGAGAGATATAGTGGCAAAGAGAGAGACAGAAATGTGAGAAGGGAAAGAGACACAAGAAACAAAATTACAAAATAATTTAGAATGATTTAGTGTTGTGAGGAACTTCAGAGATCATCTAGTCCTTTCCCTTCATTTTACAGATAAGAAAACTGAGGCTTGAAAAGTTTAAGTGACTTGTTTAAGTCTGTATTCCCAAAGCAAGTGTTTGTTCAGAAGTTGAACCTAGCGTGTTTTACAATCAAGAATCTTATCCTTAGATTAGTACAAGAAAGGAGAGACACACACTTGGGAAACATAGACCATAGAACCATAGGAAAGACACACCCATTGTCCCTTGAGATACACCCTCATCTGGCCCATCTCCACATAAAGCCACCACAATCTGACATGGATGTACAAGATTACAGATCCAAAGAAGGCATATATCTGCCTTCACAGGTCCTCCACTTAGACTTGCTCCCTAAAGGATCCCCCCTACCCAAGTTCACTGCTAGAAGGGATCCAAGCATCCTGATCTCCAGCATCCAGTAAAAAGCCCTGTTCAGTATATCCCTCTGGGGGGGATTGGGGGTGGGGGTGGGAAGGAGAGGAGTGTCCGGTTGGGAGGAGGGACCTGATTCCTGTTTCCTGCCCCAACTCACAGGGCAACTGGAGGTGATCAAGAGCGGAGGGAACTGCCTGGTAAGAGTTAGGGTGTCCCGGGTCCCTGGAAGGGATGGGAGTTGGGGGAGGAGGAAGAGAGCTAGGCACTATGGGATCAGATACTTGGGACCCTAAAGGGAATGGAAGCTGGGGAAAAGGGAAGAACTGGAGGCTGGGATATCTGAGTCCCTAAAGAAAATGGGCAGGTGGGTCTAGGATAACCTGGGTTCTTGAGCAGAAGAGAATATCTGGGATGGGGAGAGGGGTTCATCTGCTTGAGGCCACCTCACAAATCATCAGTGACTAGGTCTCTGGGAGAGGGAGATGGTGTCTCTCTCCGTCCAGGTCCTGAGGCAGGTTTGGGAAGCCCCTGGATGTTCCACAGGCCTGGCACCGTCTTTGGGGCTTTATCCTATTTCAGCATTTCCTTCCTCACGTTAAGGATAGGCTCCATCACAGAGATCCCCACTCAGCCCTATCCACATCCTCCTACCTTCACAAAAACACCAACGTCAGTCCCTTTCCTCAGTTCATTTTTCTCTCTCTGGGGCAAGTATGGGGCTGTGAGGATTTAGGCTGGGGTAGGAAGAGGCTGCAGTGGAGAAGGCTAGTCCTCTCTGGATGTCCCTGAGCCAGAGGCTCCAGGACTCTCCATGCAGGAAAATAAAGCTAAAAATAATCCGGAAAGGGAGAGTCCAGGAGAAAGAGGAACTTGGAAATGGGGGTGGGAACTAGAAAACGGTGATATATACTCCCTGCCTCTCCCCTCTGTATCTGTCTTGCTCCCTGTCTTTCTACCTCTGCATTCTGTCTCTGCATCTCTCTCGCTTCCAAGTTCACTTTATTAATTTATTGACACCCCCCATCCCCTCACCCTGCCACCACAAAGCATCCACTCTCCCTTCCTCTCTCCTGCCCCCTTCTCACCCACCCTCCTTTAGCTCTGACTCATTTCCCCAGGTTCCTGAAGTCAGGAAATGCAGAGACAGAAACTGAGGAACCAAGACTGGGGTGTCACTTTTGACAGACATCTCAAATAAGACACTCGGACTGGAATGAGAACCAGGAAAGAGAAAGAAATGGAAAAGGAGGAAAGGAGCAGGATGAGAAGGGGAAAAGAGAGTGAGAAAGGGGAGAAAATGAAGAATTGAGGGAGAGAGAGCAAGTGTAGAAATTATATTTTTAAGGGTTCACTATTCGGACTTCCAAATAATTTTCACAAAATTGCTTATAAATTCAAATGTTTATATCCTTCTAACCCTTGGCTAAATCTCTTCCCTTCTCCTCAATCAAGGTGATGCCTTCAGGACCAGGTCCCCCTACCCCTGTTAAACTCAGACAAAGATGTCAACCCAATCTCTTCCCCCGGCAACACCTCCATCTCAGAAGCCTCCTCGAGTCACTCGTCCGAACCCTCCTTCAAGATCACGGACTAATCCATCCCCAGGGTCACTCTTCAATGGGTCCTCTCACCAGGCAGTAGCCACCCCTCTTACTTCTCAAGATCCATTAATCTTAACCTCACTCTCCCCACCGTGTGATTCTCTCCCTACCTCTACCAAGCCCCTAATTCTTCCATCCACACCATCCCCCAAATCTAGCTCCCTTTCTTTGGCTCCACCAGATTCTTCTTCCAGTTCCCCAAGTCCCCAGGCCCTGAGCCCTGGTCTCCCTAAGCTCCTTCCCCCATTCCCAGTTTCCCAGATCAATTCCCCTGAACCTATCAGTCCCTCCCAGTCTTCATCTCCCAAATTCCTGTCCCTGCCCCATCACCCCTCAGTATCTGGCACTGTCCGGAGACTAGCTGGGAGGTTTGAGGCAGGGTCCACAGTAGGGGACCAAATTGGGGAAGCCCCACTCCAGGATGGAGTGGATGAGAATGGAGAGAAAGAAGACTGCCATGAGCGTCTGGCAGGGAGTGGACCCCAGGAGAATGTATGTCTGGGTAAGCAGTGGGACTATGGCTTGAGGTCATAGAGTGGTTTATGAGGCCTAGAAAAGACCAGATCTAGAGAGATAAACAGAATCCAGGAGGCTGAATATATGGGTCTTCAAAAGGCTTAGAGGGTAGAGAATTTGAATTGGTGACGGTATTATATGTAGTACAAAGAGTACTAGACTGGAGAAGTAAGAACAGTGGTTCAAAACCAGCTCTGCTAATGACTAGTTGTATAACCTCGGTCAAGTCTTCTTTTGGGGGCTTAGTTTTTTCCTCTGTATAAATGTTGGATTTTATGACCGGTAAAATGCCTTCTAATACTGACAAAATTTAAATAAATGTATTAAATGTCTGGGATCTTGAAGGATATAAGTGCTGGAGGCCTACCTACTCAAGTGTCTTTTGTCTCTTCCCAGATACTCCTTTATCCTGCCCACCTCGTTGTCCCTGTCTCTGTCATTTGGCACATCCTGGCCTGGAACTTAAGTGGGTATCTGTAGGGGACAGTGAGGAAGTCCCTCGTGCTCCTCCTCGTTGTCCCACACGCTCTCTCCCCAGCCCCCCGAGTAACAAGAACACCTCTGTCATTCTCACATCCTACCGATCCATGGTGGAGCACAAACTCCTGCCCCCTCTCACACCTCCCAAGCCAACTTGGGCCAGGAAGGAGGCCACCTGCCCTGAGCATCCTTCACAGACAGACTCCAACCTGCCCTCCAAAGATGGGACTTGCCCAGGTATTGGGACCTGAGAATGGGGCATGGATGCTTGCATTCCAGAGGGAAGCAGAGGCTGAGGATAGGGAGAGAGAAGAGGGAAAAGGGAATGCAGCTCCATGAAAGGGAGGAAACTACAACTCCTCACAGACCAAGAGGCAGCAGCTCAGGCTGAGAATCAGTACAAGACCTGCTGCTGAAGACTTGCTATGTAACATCCGTCCAGAGATGAAGTTCTTTTAGGGCAAGGGCTGTCTCATTTTTTCTTATATCCCCAGCACCTAGCACAGTATCTTTTATGTAGAAGGAATATATCTTAAAAAATTCACTTGAATTGAGGGCCCTTCCATCTTTGACATTCTATGGTTCCCAAAGTTGCTGGCTCCTTCATTAGCTTCTCCTTTAGTCCAGTATCTGATAAGCGATATAGTTTGTCTAGTGGTACCCTGATGGGAGCTGGGCAATCTTTGGCCATGGGAGTCAAATGCCTTACTCCTCACTGTGGTTTCTCTCTCTAGGTGACAGTCTGGAAGAATGTCCAGAGACCCCTGTGGGCAGGTACCAGATACCCTCTGATAATGCCCAACACCCTAACCATCTCCAAATTTGATTGGAAGGGTAGACCATGTTTTAAGGCCAAAGGAAAGGCCCTCTTCCTCCATGAACCCTGTTCACTCGTTCTGAGTGGTTCTCTTGCTCTTTTGAATTGCCAGTACATTAATTGTACTTACTATTCATTTGACATTTAATCATGTACTATGTTGCGACAGTTCATCCTGTGTGGTTGTTTAATTCTTCAGTGTTTATGTCTTATCTCCCCCTCCCCCCCTGCAATTTGCCCTTAAGCTCCTCTAGGGAAGAGGATATATTTGTGCAGCCTCAGTGCAGTATAGAATACTGCCTCAATTAAACTTCCAGGGAGTTTTTATTTCTCTTTCTCTCTACAGAGACCAAGAACTAGAGGTTCTGAACGAGCAGGATTGGTGCCTGCCTCTGCAGGATGGTGAGGGGCTTTGGATTCCTGGGTCTTTGAAGCAGAAGGGTCTGGAGAGGGAGAGCAAGGGTATTTGAGACTGGCCACTGGATCATTGCCCTGGAGCACCTTGACCTTCTATTACCTTTTCCTCAGAGCCCCTGTACCAGACAGCTGTGCTGGCTGAAGAGCTGTGGGGAGTTGCCAAGGACGGGAAGCTCCTCCCAACAAACCTTAGAGAACCCTCAGAACCTCGAAATACACTGTGGCAGGAGCTCCCTACGGTGCAGGAGAGTGGCCTCTTAAAGACCCTGAGCCCTCAGGAGAGGCGGATGCAGGAGGTCAGACACCTGGGTTCCGCCAGGAAATGGGAACTGAAGGGAAAGGAATGGAAAGGAAGAAGAGCTTGGGGTTGGGTGGTTGGAGGTCTGGTTCTTGGGTATGAGCGGGATTTGAGGCTGGGAGGGATCAGGGGAGACAAACTAGGGGCAAGAAACTTGGATTCTCATAGATCTTAAGCTGGAAGGGATCTCTCTCTCACATCTCTTAACTCTCTTCCAGAGTCTATTTGAGGTGGTGACATCAGAGGCCTCCTACCTTCGTTCACTTCAACTACTGATGGATACCTTTGTGCTGAGTGCTTCGCTCCGAGATACACTGACACCCCGAGACCACCATACTCTGTTCTCTAACGTGCATCGCGTCCAGGGTGTCAGCGAGCGGTCAGTCTGCCTTCCCAGGTTTCTGTCCCCTCTGTCTCCGCTTCCTTTAAGACTCCTGGTTTCCAATCCCCCAATTCCCAGTTCTCTCTTCCTCTAGACACTCGTTTGATCCCCAAATTCAGTTCTGTAAGGTGTTCTCCTGGCCCTTCTCACCGACCCAGACATCCTGACTCCCTAACCTTCTCATTCCCATAGGTTTCTGGGAGTTCTGCTATCCCGAGTGAGGAGCTCCCCTCACATCAGTGACTTATGTGATGTGGTGCATGCCCATGCTGAGGGCCCCTTCTCCGTGTATGTGGACTATGTGAGGAATCAGCAGTATCAGGAGGAGACATACAGACGCTTGATGTAAGGGCTGCCTTGACCCTTGACATCTGGGGACTGGAAGGAAAAAGTTAGGGGAGGGTTGGAGGGTTGGAAGCTGTAAGGAGAATGGGGAGGCAGGCGGTTAGTTAGATCCTGGAGAAGGCATCTGGGGCTCAGCTGCTAGATCCTGTGTCCTCCTCCTGCAGGGAGACAAACGTGCGCTTCTCAGCAGAACTGCATCGGCTGCAGAGCCTGCCCCAATGCCAGAGGCTCCCGCTGCCTTCCTTCCTGCTGCTTCCATTCCAGCGCATCACCCGGCTCCGCATGTTGCTTCAGGTGCTAGGGCCAGGGCCCCAAGCCTGGCACCCCTTGAACGGGGGGACTGCCTGCTCTGGGGTGGCAATCAACCCTACTTAGGGCTTGCTCATACAGAGATTCTGCCAAGTGGAGGATTTTCTCCAAGTCAGAGAAACTCCCAATATGGACTCCCCAACCCAGGAGCTCACTGACTCATTCTGCAGTTTGACCAAACTCCAGTCCTCAAATGAGGGCACCCCATCTTTTTTTTTTTTTTGCTTTTTGGGGAGGTGATTGACATTAAGTGACTTGCCCAAGGTCACACAGCTAGTAAGTGTTAAGTGCCTGAGACTGGATTTGAACTCAGGTCCTTCTGACTCCAAGGCCAGAGCTCTATTCACTTTGCCACCTAGCTGCCCCTAGGGCACCCCATCTTCAGAGCCTCCGAACCATGTTACCCAAGGTGGGGCTGGAAATCTCTGGTTTTCTGATTGATAGTTCCTTAGAAATCCATGATTCTCCCAACTAAGTGATACCCTTGCTCCCACCCCCACTCCACTTTTTATGCTTCTAGAGTCATCAGTTACAAATTAAAGAGCAGGTGCAGTAGAAAGAGGGTATGATACTTGTGATCAAACCCTAGTTCTGCCACCTGTGTGAATACGGGCAAGTCATTTCAACTCTAGACCTCAGTTTCCTCATCTGTAAAATAAGGATATTGAACTAAATTACATTTAAGATCCCTTCCAGATCGAAATCGATGCCCCTAGGATCCTAAAGTTCTGGGGTCACCCTTCCTTCTCTGCTCACAGAACATCCTTCGTCAGACTGAGGAGGGCTCCAGCCGACGAGAGAATGCCCAGAGAGCACTGGAGGCCATAAGTAAGGTATGGGGGAGCTGAGACCTGGAAGTCAGGTGCAAAGATGAAACAGGCAGGAGGAGTTAGGGTGACACGGGCTCCTTCTCCCCAGATTATTGAGCGATGCAGTGCTGAAGTCGGGCGAATGAAGCAGACCGAGGAGCTGATCCGGCTCAGCCAGAGGCTGCATTTCCACAAAGTCAAGGTCAGTGACCTTGGGTCCCCGGCACCCAAGTTCCCCACTGGGTCTCACTCATATCACCCCCATCCTGCTGTTTCCTAACTCCAGGCCCTAGCTGTCCAAGTTTGTTTGGTAGTAGTACCCAGGCCCTGGGTTTTTGCGGGGTAGGAGGTGGGGGAATCCTATAGAGAGGGGATGTGCTCGGGGCAGCTAGGTGATATAGTGGATAGAGCACCAGGCCTAGAGTCAGGAAGACTCATCTCCCTGAGTTAGAATCTAACCTCAGATACTTATTAGCTGTGTGACTCTGGGCAAGACATTTAACCCTGTTTGCCTCAGTTGCTCATCTGTAAAATGAGTTGGAGAAGGGAATGGCAAAACATTCCAGTATCTTTGCCAGGAAAACCCCAAATGGGTTCACAAAGACTTGGACGTGACTGAAAACAATTGAACAAGAACAAAACAGTGTGCAGAGTGGGGTACAAGAAGGTAGAGCTGTGAGTCTTTTATTTCTGCTTCCCAACCCCTGTACCAGGCTTTACCTCTGGTCTCCTGGTCCCGGCGTCTGGAACTGCAAGGAGAGCTGATGGAGTTGGGAAGCCGGAAGGGCAGGTCCCTCTTCAATTCTCGCCCCAGACTTACTCCCCTCTGTCTCCTGCTCTTCAGTGACCTACTGCTCATCACTCAGCCTAAAAGGTGGGCAGGCCTTCTGGGTGATGGTGGGGGAAGCATGTGCAAGGGGAGGAGAAGAGGGGATACCAGGCAACCTTCCTGATAATCTCTCTTCTGGGCAGTGGGCAAAGGTTATATGTTCTGGATTATGCCCACCGATCCTTGGTTCAGGCCCAGCCAGTTCCAGACCCTTCTGGTCCCCCGACTTTTCGCCTCTCACTACTCAGCAACCACCAGGGCTGCCCTACCCACCGACTACTCCAAACCTCTTCTCTGTGAGTCTTGACATCCTAACCCCTGGGTGCTCCTGGATAGGCCACCCAGAACATATTATCTGACCCCTTGATATATACTTCCCTACAACTCCGTGATTCCTCCAATCTCTTCCCCCAAACCAACCCCCTCTATCTCAATCCCTGCTCCACCCCCTCAGGCTGCCTCTAGGAATCTAGGGGACCAGCTGTGACTTCTCCACGTTCTGTCTAATCCCTTTCCCAGGTCTGATATGCAGCGCTGGCTGGGGGCCTTCCCCACTCCGGGACCCCCTCCTTGTTCTCCAGACACCATCTATGAGGAGTGGGGTGAGGACAAGCTTGATGACAAGATGGTGGTGGGGGAAAGGACATCATGAGGAAATGGAGTTTGGGGATAAAAAGGGGAGGGATGAGCCAGGAGCATTTTCAGGGGACCTGGGTCTTAGCCTCATTCTGTATCTCTCCCATATGCCCTCCAGACTGCCCCCAGGCCCTGAGCATAAATTCTCATGTAACTGCCAAGACAAAGGATCTAAGCCTGGAGTCTGGGGATCTTGTCAACCAGTTTCACAAAAGTCCAGAGGGTAAGTGAAAACAGATTTATCTCTTAGTAATCCCCAACATTTTCCCACTCATCCTCCTACCTATCAGGCCACTCTTGGTGAGACCCTTTCAATTCAAACATTTATTGTTTGCTGAATACTGAGTTCTGTGCTAGGCACTAGGGGACATGGATAAGGGACATTAGATAAAACACGGTCCCTGCAAATGTCTACTCAAGTGATCCGACACATACATAATAGCTACAACGCAAAACACTGCATAAGCCCTTAAGAAAGATCAGATAGAATGATCCAGGAGAGAGAAATAAAAGCCATTACTAGCTGGGAGGAGGTGAAATAAAGGAGGTGATTAACTTAATTGTAAGAGGTGGCATTTGAAATGGGCATTATTAGCCAACAGGCAAGATTTCAACAGATCAGGGTGGAGATGGGGAAGGCAATCAAGCTGCTACTCAAGTCACTCTCCTGATCCTTCCCACTCACCCCAAACACCCACTAGAGCGGGGTTCTTAGCCAATTTTTTTTGTCATAGATCCTTCTGGCAGTGTGATGAGGTCTATAAACTCCCCAGAATATGTTTTATAAAGCATAAAAATAACATATTGGACTATAAAGGAAACATTTTTATTGAAATACAATTATCCAGTTTTTTAAAATCGAATTCTCACACCCCAGAGAACCCTAGGAACCACTTAAACCTCCTTTCTTTCCAGCCTGGCTGAAGGGTATCCATGGGTCGTATGCTGCTCAGTTAGCAAGTGAGGTGACAGGTGAGCACACCCGACGGAAAAACCTGCAGCAGCAAAAGCAGTTACTTCGAGAGGCTGGGAAGCAACTACATACGACGCCCACGCTCACCCTCTCCGGGTGCTAGGAGCATCCTCCCGCACTAAGGTAGGTGCGTTGTGGACTTAGGCTTACATCTCCCCGAAGACGCCAGTCTCGGAACAGCCAGCCAATACGGGAGTGGCATTCCTCTGAATAGCCAATGAAGCCAGAGTCATCTCAAACCCAACCAATGAAAATGATAGTTTCCTGAATTATCAACCAATGGGAGACACATACTCAAGATACAGGAGCCAATGAAGATAGAGCTATATGCCTCTTTTTTCTTAAAAAGACTGGAGAACAAAGTCTCTTCATCCCCTATGTGCTTACAGCTTGTGGGGACCCGTGGTGGCCAAGAAGCCATTTTCATTCAGGACCTGGTGTGTAAAACTTGTATATGGAGTGTTCGTTCAGGAAGGACTAGAACCTCTGGTGTGAGAGTTTGCCAAGCCCTTTTCAGGGCTGCTCATCCACCTCGGGTGTCTATCTGGCACTCAACTCTTATTTGTGGCTCCAAGGAGCTGTAGCATAGGCAGCAGCCACGTCCTAGTAAACTGTCTAGGCAAATGAGCTAATCCAGGTTGAGGGTAATCAACAGGCCTCAGACCTGCCAGTGAGTTAGGAGGATGTCTTTCCCAAGCACCTGAAGACTTTCCTGGCCTAATGGGCCGATAAGAACAGTTCATTCCAATGGCCACGAAAGCAGCTGAAGCAGGTGCTGTGAAGCACTTAGACCTTGCCAAGTCAACCACTGCATCCCGGACTATCACCAGTTGTCCTGACTTGCCTTACCATTGGACTTTCATGACTCTGGAAGAGAGCTAGAGTGTGTAACTCTGCCTCACTTAAATCCAATGCACATTTAAATCAAGAAATCACCCCAGGATGTCATTGGTCCTCTTTGAAAGGAAGTATGAACAGTTTACAGATTATGAGGACACCAAAGGCCAAGGAAGCCAATGTCATTCAGGACCAAACAGCCAATGGGGAATAAAGGCACTAATGTGGTAACCAACCAGTGAGGATGGAACTTCAAAAAGTTTTCTTATTGAGACTCAGTCACACCCTTAGACCACTGTTCTTGGGATGCCCCTTCCCCTCACTGTGGTATCTAGGATGTATGTATATGGAGGGAAGACCTGAATCTGGGGTGAAAACTAAAAAAATCTGATGGGTTTGCTTTAAAACCCAGGCTGGGGCTTCCAAGAGTTGATGTGCCAAGCCATCTTTGATGACAAAGCTTTCCTCTCCTCCACTAGATTTTTTTACCCCCTTTCTCTCCATTTCTGGGGCACATCATAAGTGGGTCTTGGAAGTAAATGATGCTTTGGTAAAGTGTAGGACAACTCATGGAGGGTGTGATAGGATGAGAGGAGGTGCTTGGACCAAGGAATAGAAGAAATACATCTAGACTGGGGTGGGGGGGGTCAGGAGGTTCTGTCACTTAACCAGCTCTGTGATGTTGGACAAGTCAATTTTCCTCTCTAAGACTCAGTTTCCTCACCCCAGTCAACATACATTTATTAAGAGCTTCTTATGTGCCAGGAACTATGCTAAGCATAAGGGCTATAAAGCAAGGCAAAAACATGGTCACTGCCCTCAAAGAGCTCACATTTTCTAGAGCCTCTAAAATAAAACTAATGCCTACCTCACAGGATTGTTTGATAATCTATAAGATTATGGATATCAGAGCACTTAGCAAACTATATATGCATATGTATATGTATATTAAGGAACTGGGAGCTTGGAGCATGAGGAAATGAGTGGCTGGCACTCATGCTTAAGTTCAGGTTCTGGGAGGGGGAGAGCAGAATTATATGGCACTAGTGCCACCCACTTCTTGGTCCCATGGAAGGAGCTAAGGTTGGAGGACGAGGTCTGGGGACAGTGGAAGGCAGTGCAGCCCCCAAGTGGTCATGGCCTTCCAATTTTGGCAGCTGGAGCATTTGAGGTCATGGACAAGTTGGTTTGTTGTCTGGGTTTCTTCTTGTACATTCTGGATGTTTCCCAGAAGATCCAGGCAAAGCAGAATAAAATAGAAAATGGGGAGCTGTTCCTCATATGGATTGTCAGCTTTTCAAGCAATGACCACCCCAGGATTAAAGTTGGTTATGGTAAAAGAGATAGAGGGCCACACAGAACACAGAGAAAGGAGCAGATGTGTGTGGAAACATAGGGATGCAGAACTGGGCAAACCTTTCTCTCCCCCTTTTTATTGGCTGGTGTAAAAACTTACTAAAAGGCAGGTATATGGGAAGTTCAGAATACAGAGAGTATAAGATTTAACATAGAGAGATTATTTAAGGTGTAGCTAATCATTTAGAATATATTTGTAACATGACTTTGGAAAGTTTTGACTTGGTGGCTCACATCTACAACTGCCTATTGGACATCTTGAACTGGATGTCCTCTAGACATTTTAAACTCAGTTTAGCCAAAACTCAACTTATTTTCTCCCCTTTCCTCCCCAGCTTGCCCTTCTTCCCATCTATCTTATCTTGTCAAGGGTACCACCTTCCTTCCCAGTCATGGGGGTTCCCAATCTAGATGTCATCTTTGACTCTATTCTCTCTCACCCCTCCCGTCCCCATATTTAATCAGTTGCTAAATCCTATCAATTCCACTTTCCTAACCTCCTCATCCCCCTTCTCTGCTCTAACACTACCACTACCCTGGTGCAGACCACCATCACCTCATACCTAGGCTACTCCATTAGCACTCTGCTTCAAGTCTCTCCCTACTCTTCTCCATTTTCCATTCAAATGTTAAAATGACCATGTCACTCCCCCATGTCAATAAACTCCCAGGTCCATCTATAACCCCAGGATCAAATATAAAGTCCTTTGCTTTGATTTTTAAAGTCCTTTATAACCCTGCTCCCTCTTACCTTTCTAATCTTTTATACCTAACGCCCTCCCCACATATTCTACATTCTAGGGACATTGGCCTCCTAGCACAGGATGCTCCATCTCCTTACTCTATTCATTTTCCCTGTCTTCCTCCAAGTCTTAGTGAAAAATCTCACCTTCTACAAGAAGTCGTTCTAGATCCCCTTTAATGCGAATGCCTTTGCTTTGTTGATTATATCTAATTTATCCTGTATATATCTTGTTTGCGCATAACTGTTTGCATGTTGTTACACACACATCCCCACCTCCCCCACCTTAGACTGTGAGCTCCTTGAGAGTAGAAACTAGTTTTTCCCATTTTTCTATATTTTCAGTGCTTAGCACAGTGTCTGGACCTGTAGAAGGTGCTTAATAAATATTTGTTGACTGTTTGAGTGACTGCTGCTGGGGTTACTGGGAAGCAAAATGATGTTGTGGAAAGAACAATGGATTTAGAATTGGAAGACTGAGGTTCAAGCCCTATCAATTGCCATTTGCTACCTGTATGACCTTGGGCACGTTTCTTAACTTCATTTTACTGCAAGGCTTCAGTTTCCTCATGTATAAAATGAATATGTTGGACTAAGTACCTTTAATGTCCTTTCCAGATCTAAATCTATGATTATGTGGTCCCACTTCACTAGCCAACATCCCACTTCACTAGCCAACATCACTGCAACTGAGATGAACTGTCCTTTACAGTTGAGATTAGAAGGGAGAAAAGAATGGAAAGGTGTTTTCATGAGACTGGGCAGGCTATGCCTGTTGGTCAGGGGTCTTACCTCTTCTGGGAAACAGGATCAGTAGTTAAGAGGGAATATTGTGGTCTGAAAGTTCCTGAGATCTTCAGTCAGAAGAGAGGTTGCAGCAGCAGTTACAACCAGGACCTGCCTGCAGGACTGCCAGAAGCAAATGGATGGGGATGGGGGGGGGGAGAGAAGCTAATATAAAGCTATAGCTAGATGGGGAAGGGGAGGAGGTTGACAGGTAACTCTTATCTGCAGAAGCCAAAAGCAGATAAGGGCAGACACTGTACCAGCAATAAAGACCCCTTATTAACCAGCCAAACTGACTCCACATACCTGTAGGCATTTGGGGAACCAGGGCATCACTCTTGCACTCTTTTCTCTGCAGCAAGAGACAGAGAAAGATACTGAGAAAGAGAAAAGACACACATGGAGACTGAGTGACAGATTAAACTCCGGTCATGTTACTATAGATGTTCCTCCCTAGATTTCAGGATGATAGGGTGAAGAAAAGGAGAGGGAAAGTCACAGATATTCTAAAAGGAACAAAGAAAGATAAATACATGCTTTCCAAACTTCCAGTTTTTATTATCAGAGATTTTCTTTCTTGTTTTCTCTTTATTTCCGGCTGGGGGTAGGTGAGGAGAGGTCAAACACAATCACAGAATCTCAGAGTTGGAAGGAACTTCAGAGGTCACCTAGTTCAACATAAACCTGAGTAAGAATCCACTATATCTGAAAACTTGTCATCCAATCTTTGCTTGAAGACTTCTAGAAAGGAGGAGCCCACTACTTCCTAAGGCAATCCATTCCACTTTTGGATAGCCCTCATGTTTACAAAGCATTTTTTTACTTCAATCCCCCCCTCTCTTTTGATCCTGGTGCTGCTCTTGGGGCTAAACAGAACAAGTCTAAATCTGTCTTTCACATAAGAGCCTTTCAAATACTTGATGTCAGCCTTCATATCCCCCAAAGCGTTTCTTCACCACACGAAACCTCTCTGTTCCTTCAACTGATCCTCATATGGCATTATTTCAAGGTCCTTGCCCATCCTGATTACCATACTCCGAATGTTTTCCATCTTATCAACGTCTTGTCTAAAATGTGGTGCTTAGAATTGAAAACAGTATTCCAAATGTTATTTGACCAGGGCAAAGTACTGTGGAGTTTACTAGTCTTAAGGCCTGGGTCACTTAATGCAGCCCATGATCAAATAAAGTGTTTTGGCTGCCATATATATCACATTGTTGATTCATTCTGAGCTTACAGTCACCAAAACCCCCAACCTATTCTCACTCAGACTGCTATCCAGCCATCTGGTACCTGTGAGGCTGATTTCTTTTTGGTCAAATGTAAGAACACATCAATTATGATATAATTTTACCTTATTCAATTCTGTCCAAAAAGATAAAAGGTCTTTTTGTCATCCAATGTGTTTGGCTATCCCTCTTAGCTTTGTGTTGTCTGCAAGGACCACACACATGTGTCTTTGTCCAAATCATCTATGAAAATGTTAAAACAACAGGAAACTACATATCCCTGGGGAATTCTACTAAGAATCTCTTTCCAAGTTGACGTTGAACCATTAATAATGACTCTTTGTGCCTGGCCATTCAATCTATTCTGAACCTGTTTAATTTTACTATTGTCTATTTTCTTCTAGGAATACTAGAACTTCTTTGAACCCTTTGCTCTGGATGGTTTATGAGACAAAATAATGATCCTTTAAACCAGGAATTATTTAAAGCTAGATCAAAATTCCATCACAGGTTACAGGTTGGGGAGAGTGGGGAGAGAAGCTAATATTACTTAACACAGGTAATTTTTAGGGTCAAAAATAAGGGGTGTCTTAGGGTGGTCTAGAGTTTTTTTTTTATTTTTCAATAAATTCTTTATAAAAGATATGGAGGAATACCTCTTGCATGTTGGGTTGATCCTCTGTGTAGCTCCTTTGGGAGAACACAAATAAAAATCACACAGAAAAACAAAGCATGAATAAATTGTGATCTGTACCTGTGAATCAAATGTCCCTATCAATGAAATCACTGACCCATTGATCTGAAGGGACCACGAGGAGGCAACATGGCGTAATGGAAAGAACACCTTAATATTGGGAATCAGAGGACCTGATTGTCTCTGACTTGAGGGCAGGGGTGGGAAACCTGCAGCCTTGAGGCCACATGTAGCCTTCTAGGTCCTTGGATGCAGCCTTTTGACTGAGTCCAAATTTTACAGAACAAATCCTTTTGTTAAGGGGATTTGTTCTGTGAAGTTTGGATTCAGTCAAAGGGCTGCACTTGAGGACCTAGAAGGCCACAAGTCACCTTGAGGCCGCAGGCTCCCCACCCTTGCTTTAGGCAAGTCACTCAGCCTCTCTAGATCCCAGTTTCCTCACACATAAAATGAGTTGGTTGGACTAAATGACCTCTAAAATCCTTTTCAGTTCTGTGATCCTGTGATTTCAGGTCAAAATGAATTTGGACCAAGTTTAACATTATAATGGCTTAACCCTCACTTGGGATTCAGCCCCTGGGAACATCTGAATTTGGCTCATCACATAGCTAGTATAGCCCTAGACCCTGTTTTCCTGACTCTAAAGCAAGCCCTCTGATCATTATACCATGATGCTGTTAATAAATAAAATAAGTAAACAGTTTAACCTTAATGAGTGCCTTATAATTAGGCTTTAATGTTTTCCTTATATTTCTTCTGAATCTTTTATATCGAATTTTCCATTGAGTTCTGGTCTTTTTGCTACAAACACCTGAAAATCTTTCAGTTTGTCAAATATCCATTTTTTTTTCATTCAGGATTATACTCAACTTTGCTGGGTAAGTTATTCTTGGATGCAAGCTCTTTAGCTTTTTGAAATATAGTGTCCCAAGACCTATAATCTTTTAGAATAGAAGCTGTTAAGTCTTGTGAAATCCTGACTGCATTTCCACAGTATTTAAATTGGGTTTTTTTTTCTTGTTGCTTGCAATATTTTCTCCTTAACCTCAGAATTTTGAAACTTGGCTATGACATTCCTGTAAGTTTTCCTCCTAAAATCTCTTTCAGGTGGTGAACATTAGTTTTCTTTTTTAGGCAATTGGGGTTAAGTGACTTGCCCAGGGTCACACAGCTAGTAAGTGTCAAGTGTTTGGTCCGATGCCAGATTTGAACTCAGGTCCTCCTGACTTCAGGGCCAGTGCTCTATCCACTGTGCCAACTTAGCTGCCCTGTGAACAGTAGATTTTAAAAACTTCTATTTTACCCTCTTGTCCTAGAACTTCAGAGGGCAATTTTCCTTAATAATTTTTTGTAATATTGTACCCAGATTCTTTTTTTTGATCATAATTTTCAGATAGTCTAATGATTCTTATATTGTCTTTCCTCAGTCTGTTCTTCAGATCAGTTGTTTTTCTAATGAGATGTTTGAGATTCTGTTCTATTTTTTCCTATTTCTATTTATTTATTTATTTGTTTGTTTGTTTGTTTGTTTGTTTATTGGTGTCTTATAATGTCATTCAATTCCTCTTGATCAATTCTAGTTTTCAAGGCATTATTTTGGACCTCTTTTTCCAACTGTTTAACTTTCTTTTCATAATTTTCTTGGAAGTCAAACTGTTCACTTATTATACATATGAAAATGTTATCAATATTCTTAAAACTCTCATCATTACTAAGGCAGTTTGAAAGAAAGGTTGGTGGAGCAGAGCCAAGATGGAGGAGTAAAGGCAGGGGCTCACCTGAGCTCTCCCCCAAACCCCTCCAAATACCTTTGAAAATGACTCTAAACAAATTCTAGAGGCAGCAGAACCCACAAAAATACAGTGAAACAAATTTCTAGCCCAAGACAACCTGTAAGGTCAACAGGAAAGGTCTGTTGCACCAGGGTGAGAGAGAAACACAGTCCAACGCAGGCCGTGCCGGCAGAGCCCTGGCCCCAGCAAACCAGAAGTAGGCCTTGGGAGTGACTGACTCAGCAACACCAGTGGCTGCTTCCAGAGCTCTCAGCCCACAGACAGTAAGGGGGTTGAACAATTGGTCAGAAGGAGATTACAGGGGTCTCTTTGCTAGCATTGAGGAAGGACTCTGTTGCTTTGCCCATACTTGCATCCAGTTGCAGTCCTGGGTAGCAGTCCCAAGGTGAAGAGGAGCACTAGCACAGAGCTTCTGGCAGCAGTGGAAGGAGGACCCTTCTCACAGTTCTGGGCAGAAAAGAGTGCTTGTGGTTGCTCACAGAGTACAGGCCAGGAGAGGAGTAAACATCACTCCATAGATCATATCACCTTAGAAGAACTGAAAACTTACAGCTCCTTAGAAGTATCTCTGAAAACAGCTGCACAAAACCCCTGAAGCTTAGAACAGTTTGCTCTCCACCTTGGAAGCAGAGCCCTACCTCAACAAAGAGTCAAAAAGTCAAGTAATAGGCTGGCAAAATGAGCAAACAATGGGGGGGGGGGGAACCTCTGACTCTAGAAACTTACTTTGGTGATAAGAAAAATCAAAACAAACACTCAGAAAAAGACAACAAAATCAAAGTCCTACATCCACAGCCTCCAAGAAAAATATGAATTTGTCTCAGGCCATGGAAGGGCTCAAAATGGATTCTGAAAATCAAGTAAGAGAAGTAGAAGAAAAATTGGGAAGAGAAAGGAGAGTGATGCGAGAAAACCATGAAAAACAAATCAACAGTTTGGTAAATGAGACACAAAAAAATACTGAAGAAAATAACACCTTAAAAAATAGACTAGGCCAAATGGTAGAAGAGATCCAAAAAGCCAGTGAGAATACCTTAAAAAGCAGAATTGGCCAAATGGAAAAGGAGGTACAAAAACTCACTGAAGAAAATAATTCCTTAAAAATTAGAATTGAGCAAATGGAAACTAAAGACTTTATGAGAAATCAAGGAGCAATAAAACAAAACCAAAAGAATGAAAAAATAGAAGACAATGTGAAATATCTCACTGGAAAAACAACTGACCTGGAGGACAAATGCAGGAGAGATAATTTTAAAATTATTAGACCACCTGAAAGCCATGATCAAAAAAAGAACTTAGGAGGCAGCCAGGTGGCACAGTGTATAGAGCACCAGCCCTGAAGTCAGGAGGACTTGAGTTCAAATCTGACCTCAGACCAAACACTTGACACTCACTAGCTGTGTGACCCTGGGCAAGTCACTTAACCCCAATTGCCTAAAAAAAAAAAGCCTGGACGCATCTTTCAAGAAATTATCAAGGAAAACTGCTCTGATACTCTAGAACCAGAGGGTAAAATAGAAATTGAAAGAATCCACCAATCACCTCCTGAATGAGACCCCAAAATAAAAACTGCCAGGAATGTTACAGCCAAATTCCAGAGTTTCCAAGTCAAGAAGAAAATATTGCAAGCAGCCAAGAAAGAAGCAATTCAAGTATTGTGGAGCCATGATCAGGATAACACAAGATTTAGCAGCTTCTAAATTAAAGGATCGAAGGGCTTAGAATATGACATTCCAGAGGGCAAAGGAGCTAGGATTACAACCAAGAATCAACTACCCAGCAAAACTGAGTACAATCCATGAGGGGGAAAAATAGACATTCAATGAGATAGAGGAATTTCAAGCATTCTTGAGAAAAGACCAGAGCTAAATAGCAAATTTGACTTTCAAATACAAGACTCAAGAGAATCATGAAAAGGTAAACAGGAAAAAGAAATCACAAGAGATTTATTAAAGTTAAACTGTTTACATTCCTACACAGAAAGATGATTTTTGTAACTCATAAGATCTTTCTCATTATTAGGGTAGTTAAAAGGAGTAGATAGATAGACAAATAGACAGACAGACAGACAGATAGATAGACAGACAGAAGACACAGGTGTGAATTGAATACGAAGGGATGATATCTAAAAAAGAAAATTAAGGGGTAAGAGAGGAACATACTGGGAGAAAGGGAGAGGTATAATGGGGGTAAATTATCTCATAAAAGAGGCAAGAAAAAGCTTTTACAGTGGAGGGGAATTTACAGTGGGGGTTGAGGGGGAGTGAGTGAACCTTATTCTCATCAGAATTAGCTCAAAGAGGGAATAACATACACACTCAATTGGGTGTGGAAATATATCTTACCCTACAGGAAAGTAGAGGGGAAGGGGATAAGAGAAGGAGGGAGGAGATGATAGAAGAGAAGGCAGATTGGGGGAAGGGGTAGTCAGAAGCAAAACACTTTTGAGGAGGGACAGGGTGAAAGGAGAGAGAGAATAGAATAAACAGAAGAGGTATTAGGATGGTGGGAAATAGAGTTAGTCTTTCACAACAAGACTATTACGGAAGTGTTTTGCATGACTATACATGTATAAACTATATCGAATTTCTTGCCTTCTCAATGAAGAGTGGGGTGGGGGGAAGGAGGAAGAGAAAGAATCTGGAACTCAAGTTTTCAAAAATGAATGTTAAAATTGTTTTTACATGTAACTGAGGAAAAATAAAATACTAAATAAATAAAAAGAAAGAAAAGTTGGGGTTAAGTTGTACATGATGAGTGATTCTAAAAAACAAAATTGGGTAGGAAAAGGTAAAAGGGAGCAATTATATTATAGAAACTGGGCATGAAAGGAAGAACCAATACAGAGGAAGCAAGGGGTGGAGGGCTGGTAATGTTGGAACCTTACTCTCTTTTGGGGTTGACGAGGAAACAACATGTACATCTGGAAGGGTGTAGAAGTCTTCTGAACATGTAGAGCAGTGAGAAAACTGGGGGACAGAGTTGGGGAGGAACTTTTGAAAGAGTGTGTGGATTGAGATTGGGGGTTGGGAGAGTGGGGAGACAAGATAAGGTAACAGAGATAGGGTAAAAAGAGAGGCTGAGAAAGAAAATGGTGAGCAAAAATAAGGTGGAGGTAAATTCACAAATAGTAATTATAACTTTGAATGTGAATGTGATATTTATAGCACCACTCTCTGTGGTGGCAAAGAACTGGAAATTGTAGGGATCCTCATCAATTGGGGAATGGCTGAATAAGTTGTGGTGTGATGGAATACTACTGCGCTATAAGAAATGACAAGCTTGTTGATCTCAGAAAAGCGTGGAAAGATTTGCATGAAATTGATCAGGATCAGGTTGTGTTGTGGTGGAGTTGTCTATAGGGAATTCACAGACTCAGACCATCTCCAAGCCTAGCAAAGATATTTATCGTGGTTTTGAGCTGACTAAGTTCCTTAGAGGAGCTAGCAATTTCAGTAAGGCAAGATAGGCAATTTTAAAGAATATATGATGCTGATTACACAACAGAAAATATGAATATGGCATAGAAGATATTAATATTAAAAGGCAGGAGGTGTTTGTTAAGGAATTAGGTAATAGGGGAGAGGTCTCAGCCTTGGTTGGAACTGCATATATGATTACTCACAATGCATACAGAAAAACCCTTTTGGTGGGGCATGTATATATGATAATGATATTATAATAAGCCTCTCTACATCATAAATTCACCTAAAGGACAACTTTTGCTATTACTGCACAGCCACCATCTTAGGGAAAACCTCTTCTATGGTTTAGTGGTCAAGAATCCTGATCTACATCTTGGTGATGCTGCTTTCTCATGGCTGGCTGTTGTGGTCCTGTCTGGGAAAATGGATGATGTGGTCAGGTGATGACTGCTGCTCAGTGGAGCATATGGGGAAGTTGAATATTGAGTCTGAGGGCAGTGGCTAGCTGAGGTCTATGAAGAAGCAGAGACATTGAGTCTGGGAGTAGTGGCTGGGACAGTGGCTAGGATTCCATCAAAATGATGAAGAGCAAAGTGAGTAGAACTAAGAGAACACAGTATATGGTAACAGCAAAGTTGTTTTAAGAACAACTTTGAATGACTAAGTCATTTTGACTATTTTAAATACATAAATTAAAAATAAAGGACACATAAAGAAAGACCCTATCTACATCCAGAAAAAGAACTGATAAATATACACATATACAGAATAATTTTACACACACACGTATATATATGTATATGTGTGTATACACATATACATATATATGTATATATATTTGTATCTAATGATGGTCATCTGAGGGGGGAGAAGAAAAAAAAAATAAATTTACATATCTTTGTTGTATATTTGAAGGGAATAGCAAGTTGTACATGGTAGATTTGCAGTTTCATGTGTCTTTTTTTATTGTACTATGTTATGGAAATGCTTGTTTTCTTCCATGAATTTAAAATAAAATAAAATTTAAAAAAAATGAAAAAATAAATAGAAGTACTTTACCTTTTCTAATGGGTATCTCTCCCATTCTCAGGTTCAGCACCATTTGTCCCCAGTTTCACAACCCAAGAGCTTGATCACTCTTTCCAAACTCACAGTCTGGGTACTTGGGGAGTGAATTCTGCCAAGAGATAGCACCTCTCTGTAGCTTCTCTCTGATTTTCTCTGCGATTCTTTACCAACTTTCCTCTGCTGCTTCCACTGCTCAGTTTCTCCAGCTCCAGCTTCACTGGCTGGTCTTAGATGGGGAGCTTCTCCTTCTTCAGGTTATTCACAGACAGTTCCACTCCTGCTCTGAGCCTTCATTACCACCGATCTCTGGCAATACCACTTCTCTCAATGGTGGGGTGGGGGAAGTGGAAAAGAGATAAGAAATTCTGTTCCTAATCAATCATCTCTTGATCCTGGCAGGAGGAAGTTGCTGCCTGCAATAAGTATAAACATCCCTGAAGGATAGTGTCGCATGAAAGTTACATTTCAGGGAAGAATTCCTAGTATTCTGACTTAGGGAATCTATGGAGAAAATAAGGTTAAGCATCTTTCCAGTATAGTCTCTGACTGCAGAGTAACTTCAATTATCTTTGTTATGTCTGACTCACTGTAAAAAAAAAATGAGAAGGGTATTAATTAGGCAGAGGAGGCCAAGGAGAGCTGGAGATAGTAGGAGACTAAGCCAGAATGGATTAGTCCAACCCCCTCATTTCCCAGAGAGTATTTGCTGTTCTATGGAATTAAGTTCCCCCTCCCACTTTGACTGGGTTGGAATCTTGGCCTGGATTTAGGAAAGGGAAGAAGGTGTAAGAAAAGGATTCCCAGGACCCTTCTAGACCCCCGTCTTGTACCTGCTCAGTGAGATGGAGTTTTAATAGGTGACAGCTAGGCTGGCAGTGAGTGAGACGAGGAAAAAGGATTAAGGAGGGGCAAGAGGAGAAGCTGAGGGGTGGAATAAGGAGGTGGGGCAAGCAAGATGGTTGTGTCTTGGAAGAGGAGAGAGGGTGGTGAGCAGGGAAAGCCTAAAATTTGAGGGTGGGGCATTGAAAGATGGGGCTGGTGGGAAAAGATCAAAGAGTCATTGGAATTTTTTTAGAAGTCATAGGACATGAAATATTAATCCCTAGGAGAGAAAGATGTGTTGAAGGAGGTACCCGTGTGCAGGGAGAGGTGTGAGATTTGGAGGGCAGGCTATGTGGCAGGGTAAGGAAGTCAAAGACTAAGAAGCTAAGGTCTGAGGATCACCACAGAATTGCATGGAGGCATTCCCCTTCACCTTACTCTCTGTGTCAGTTCAGGCAGACTACTTCCCTTCTTCCAAAATGGTGGCTGCTGTACCACGTCCGGTGGCTGAATAGGGTGGCCAGTGCAGAACTGGGCTTGACTGCATTCATACGACAGCTAATTATTATCTTCTGTCAGAAATGGGTGTACATCTCTAAGAAAACCTTTTATGATCCCACATTGAAAAATGAGTACAAGAATAGAAACTACAGTTTCGGGGGACTCTGGGATTACTGAACAATCCGGGACTGTTACAACAAGTCAAGAAAGATTTCCACTGGTCACCACAATTTCTCTGTCCCCACTCTTGTCAACTGATATTTCCTGTTACTCTGTTCTCTTTGGCTCTGTCTGCTGTTCCCTGAATCTGCCCTTTAAACTTCCCCAGATTTTTCTGAAATCCTCCTCATTCTTCCTTAGTCCAGGACATACATAAGCTATGTTATCAAAAAAGACTCTATAGATCACCTGTGCCAGTAGTTCAAATAGCCAAAATTCACAGTTCATTTTAGTGTTGGAAGGAACCTTAGAGAAGATTTAATCTAATCCCTCTTATTTTAGGAGGGATCTCAGTTTGGCTCCATGGGGAATGATAGGCACATTGACCTATTGTTGAGAGACAGACAGATGCTTCACTTTGCTGAGATGATGCAGCAACTCCTGATTGCTTCCCTCTAAGATCAGTGACTGTATCACAGAGATCTGGCTGCTGAGCACTTTGTCGGAGAGACTCATGTGGAGGAACCTCCCCCTTCAACAAGATATAGAGTTGTAGAGAGGCTCCATCCTTCCTCTTGAGAGCATCACTTGGGACAGATCCAATATTAGCTCTCCCTTGGACTTCCAGCAAGGGTGGGAGGGAGTTGTTCTCCTCTTTCCCACTCCCATTGCCCCCAGCAGCAACGGTCACTACAAATTGAGCACATGGCAGCAAGAACATGTGCTTGCTTGGTGAGACTGGGACTGGACTTTACGTCCCTGGCTGTTTCTTCTACCTTTGTGTCTCTCTCCCTGAGTACAGGTCACAGAACAGCAATCCTGAAAGATGGGCATTTCCAGCCTTGGTGGTGACCTTGTGAGTTCAGGAGTTCTTGGGTTCCTAAGTTTGTGCTGGTCGCCCTGCAGGAGGTGATTCCTGCAATTATACTGCTTCTTGGTTAAGGAGATGACTATTAACAAGGTCATTCTGAACACTAAAGGATTAAAGAGCCATGCCTCTCTGGCCAGTAGAGCTGGACCTTCTCGGTTGCTTGGGATAGTACAGATCTGAGGTGAATGTGGAGTATTGTATAGCAGTCCTACAAAGCTGTCTTTACCTACTGGGGGAGTATAATTGTGGTGGTGGGTTATTGTTTTATGTTTTAAGTATTTGTTAATTTGCATTTTTGAATCTTATGTGCTTTAAGTATAGTGGAGGAAATAAATATCTGTCTTATACTTGATATCTACTTTGTACATACAGTACCTTTTCTAGAGAGGACTCTATTCATCCTTTTAGGAGAAAACCTAAATATGACCCTAAAATATAAGCCATACCTAAGCTTTATGTCAAATTAATTATATTCAACAAACATTTATTAAACACCTACTTAAAGTGCTCAGAGTATTGTGCTAGGCACTTTGGAAATAAAAAAAAAAGATAGACCCTGCCATCAAGGAGCTTCAAATTATTTCATCAAGAGAACCTCTAAAGATTTTAACCTAAGGAGTTTAATCAAACATAATTTTGGCAGCTTCCATTCATAATTTGGTAATTTAGGGAACATGATGATCTCAAAGGCCCTCACCAGCTCTAAGATTCCTAGATTCTACATACTGCTACACAGATATTTCATTTATTAGATAACCAAGGCTTCTTTCTATTCATCTATACTGTGTTGAGTGAATTGTGCCTATGCTGCCCTATTATACTTTTTCCTGATACCCTTGGCTCTCCTCAGTACCTTCCTTCCAGATTGTGGGGTAGTCACAGTGCTCCAGACCCAGCTTCACCCCACTTTTCCATACTTGCTGAAAAGTAATCCCAACACCGTTCCAGCTTCCCTTCCTCCCCACTCTTTGTGCTCCCCTTCAACCCAGCCTCATTTCTATTTCTTTCCTCTCCCTAGGCTCTAAAGGAGAAAGTTCATTCTACATTGTTTTAGAGATGGCCAAGATAAGCTTCTTATTTTCTCTTGGTTCATCCTTGCTTCTCACCAGCTGGTTGCACCAGCATGTCTTCAACCCCATGGTAAAAAACTTCCATGCCTTCAACTGGAGTGCTTGGGCAGCTTATCTACAGGTGGGACTGGTCCAGAGAGGGCCTCCAGCATTCCCCGATGCCTCCTAACTGGGTCTTCTCCTCCTTTCACTCCTCAAGAGAGTGGACATCGGCTTCCTTAAAGCCCTGGGGGTAGTAATAGCCTGAGCCAGAGGAGGAGCCTGTCTCCTCAAGACCTCTGAGAATAGCAGTCTCTCAATCCTATGTACATGTATGGAGGGAGGATATTCCTGTGAGCTTTTGGGGGACAGTGTACATGCCAGGGGATAATAGGCATTACTGTTATCCCCTGAGATCAGACAAAACCCCTAGGGATTCTTGAATGGGGATGAGACCCTCTATCCCCTGTGGACAGCTGTGTCTTCCTATCTCCCTAGCATGCTTTGTTTTCTTCACTCTCATATTATTCCCTGTTCACCTCTGGCTCCAAGAGATGAACATGAAAAAGAGGTTGATCTTGGGCAGCAGCTACTATCTTGGTTGGCTGGTGTTCTTGACATATATCCTATGCGGGGAGACTGAGGTGGTGTGGGCAGTCCTCAGGGATAGGGTCTAACCCTCTTCCCTTTTATCTCAATTTACCTACCCCTTCCCCTTCCCAGCCACCCTTTGCTTTCTCAACAACAGGGCTTCTTGGAGAGTGTGTCCTCAACCACGTTCACATGCCAGCAAGCTTTTAGTTGCACTATGAAGAGGAAAACCTGAATGTCTTTCATACTCTGGAGCCAGCTTAAGGGGATGAGGAGGTCTCTTGGTATACTGGAGAATGACACCTCTCTAGGGCCTGCATTCCCTTTTGGTGCCTTGACTGGCCCATATCTATGGAGGAAAGCCAATCCCAGCAGGAGTGCCAGGCTCCCAACTCATCTGCAGTATACCCTGCAGGCTCTACTTTGCCCCCTCCTCCTTCTACACCTTCTTTTCTTACTATCCAGTCTAGGGCTTAGTTTAATGGAATAAAGTATTGGTATATAATTAAACCCGATGATAAGCTGCTAGGGTAGGGATGGGGAAGAAAGGAATAATAAGCCTTAGAATTGACACAAACCTGAGAGGCCTTTAATCCATCCCACTTATTTTGATGAGTGTTCCCTGTCTGATACACTGCCATTCCCACCCCACCAAATGGTGCCGGATCAACCCTCCTAAAATTGCTGCTCACAAGCCCTCACCTCAGTTTAAAAGTCAACTAATTGATGGCAATTAATTCTAGGCAAAGCATTTACTAAAATGGCAAGGTAAAAACAGTAGCTACAAAATATTCTTCCTATAAATACCAACGAGTGTATTGGTGAGAGGGGAGGGAAGGCACATACAAAAGTCATTTAACCCCAATTGCCTAACAAAAACAAACAAAAAAAAATTAAAAGAAAAGTAGATTGAAGGCAAGTGGTAAAGGGCTTTAAGTGCCAAATAGATGAGGCACTGGGGAACTGGAATTCACTGAGTAAGAGAGTAATATGGTTAGACTTGTGATTTAGGAATATCTCTTTAGCAGCTGTGTGGAAGGTGAATTGGGGAAGGGAGATAGGAAAGTCAACTAGGACACTACTGCAATAGTCTAGGTAAGAGATGACATGGCCCTGAACTTGAGTGGCAGCCATATAAGAAGACTGGGCTGGATGTGACAGATGTGGAGGCAGAATTGGCAAGTGTTGGCAACTAACTGGACACATAGGGTAAAGGACAGTGAAAGAGGCAAGGGTAACTGTGAGATAGTGAACCTGAATGAATTGGAAGGACAGTAATAATGCCTTCTACAGAAACAGGCAAGTTTGGAAATGTATAGGATGGGTGTGGGTGGGGATGATGAGTTGTATTTTGGACATACTAGTTATATGGAGCTCAGGAGATAACAGGACTGGATATACAGATTTGGGAGGCATCTGCATAGAGATGATCATTAAACCTATGGGAAAAAATGTCTGTACTTAATGCTTTATTTCCTCTCTCATTAACTTCTCAATCCCTTGCAATCTGACTTCTGCCATCACTAAACTCAATTATCTAGTATTTATTAAGTACCTGCTGTGTGACAGGCACTGTGCTGGACACTGGACATACAAAGAATAAAAGAATCCTTGTTATCACAGAGCTTATACTGTAGCTGATACTTGCTCTGTCCAAAGTTACCAGTGATTTCTTAATTGCCATGCTACACTGAAGGCCCAGTTGAAACTAAACATTTCCAGGGCACCCAGTCAGCGCAGTGTGTGACTTCATATATTCATTAATATGTGAGTAGGAGCAGAGAGTCAGTATCAGGGAGAGAGGAAAATTAATTTCAGCAAGAGCAGGGGTGAAGGCCTCAGAGGATATTGAGGGCCCCACTAAGGGCAAATTTTTTTTTAAGTGTTTACAAACTGTGAATGGGACACTCCCAGTTTTATATCCTACAATCTATGGCTAGGTCCTTCAAGTATGAGCTACAGGCATCACACCCTTGGGGAATTCTAAATTCAGCCCCTTCAAGTATGAAACAGACAAAACCTCATTGTTTCTGTTACCTGGGAACTTAACTGATCAGTGGTCCCTTGCTTACCCAGCCCTACTCTTACTCTAGGGAAACTGAGGTCCAAGAAGGCATTTAAACCCAGGTTCTCTGACTCCAAATCTACTGTTCTTTCTACTAGATCAAAGCTTTCCAGATTTCAATAACTAGTATGCCTTTCTTAACCTGTGGACAGCACCTTCATGTTATCCTATGTCCTTTCATCCCTTTCTTATACAATACCTAATAAGAGTCGGGATCTATATAAAATACATACGTGTGTGTGTGTATATATATAATATATATATATATATATACATGTATGTATGTAGGTACACACACACATACACACATAATACAATAAAGTACTGACACCAGTTGGAGGGAGAATTAATTTTTTTAAGTGTTATTTGGATCAGTAGTGTCAAACTCAAATAGAAACAGGCCACTAAATGGTATATAGGAATCCTGCAAAACCACATATTAACATTATCAATGTTACATCCCATTTTTATTTATTTTAAAAAGTTTCCCAATTACAATTTAATCTGGTTCCTCTGTACTGGAATGTTACTGCTATAATTCAGGCCTAGGCAGTCTGTTTGACACCTCTGACTTAGATAACTCCTCCTCAAAGTGGAGCCCCTTCTGGAAGGCCCTCAAACACCTGTACTGTCAATAATGGTCAAGCTCCTTAACTTCATCAGAGTAAACCAAAAGAACCAAAGAAGATGACCTTTAGAATTAAAAGTTGGGGTAGGAGGCAACTCCTTAAAGGTTCCTATGCTTTTTCTTAACTGTAACCAGCCCTAATCCCCAGCAAGTCAATAAGCATTTATTGAACAATTAAATCTACTAAATGTTAAGTGGGGAAAGGGGGGAGGGAGGGAAGGTGATATCAGCTAGAAAGAAAACAGGTGCCTAGATTTGGATCCTAGCTCTGTGGCCAGGATAAGTCACTTATTCTCTCCAGGTCTCAGTTTCCTCATTTATAAGTCATTGGAGTTGGACCAGATGAACTTAAAGTCTGTTCTCTCTCTAAATTCTATGATTTTGTAAGTCACAACAGTCCCAAATTCATTATCCTACTATAAGCATCCCCATTCTCTCATCTGAATCCTGAGAAAGGCTAAAATAAACCAAAGCTAGTCACAGATTACATACCTCTGGAATAGTGCACCTGATCTTGAAGAAAATCAGGTTTGTGGCCCCCTGCTGGTTAGATTCTCTCTGCCCTTCTGCCCTTAATTTTCCTCAGGGGTCCAATGATGTCGAGCACCCCTCTCACTCCCCTGGCAGAGGGGGATGTCCTGCCCAGGTGTCTCTGATACTGGTTGTTTTCCTGGTCCACTACTTATTGCATTATTCCTCAGCTCTACTAAGAAAACAGACAAGACAGGTGATTCCACATGAGACTGCTCCACTCATGTGTAGCACTGTTACCACTTAGATGTAGAACCATTACATGTTCTGAAGAATAACTGCATTTCTGAGGAGGTTTCACTGTGTGTGCATATGCGTGTGTAAGAACAGAAAGGAAGGGGATCTAGGAAGGTGTCACAGCAGGAGTATAACAGAGAGGTTCCTGGTATAGTGAAAGCCCAGGTGAGGGCTGTCCCCCCAGCGTGGTGTGGCTCAAAGTAGGGCAAAATAGACATCTCTAGCCTCTTATTTCCTCACCTTTTTCTGAGGGAGACGTTGATTCCTGCCAGGAGGGAAAGCAAGAAGCTCAGCCACTCTTTTCTCCTCAGAGAGGTGGAGTACCAGGCCAGAATTATATCTACCAGTGCCCTTAAATATTATTAGTCTAGGGGATATGATCAGCTTCAAACTAACTTCTGAACTGTGTCATTATTGGGGGAATAGGCTCTGTATCCAAAGCTTGACCCCTTTCCCACCAGATACCAGCTCCATAATGAACATAAATAGTAAATAGCAAAGAAATCCATTTATCTAAATCATAGCAAAGCAAATCAGAGAAATTATACATAAGGGAATATATACCAGACAATTCAGAGTGAAGGATGTAAGATAACTCAGCTTAACTAAGAGAGTCCTAGCTCTTACATGGAGCCATCTCCAGTTGTCCTGATCTATATCTTGCCACTGGACCCAGATGGCTCTGGAGAAGAAAGTGAGGCTGGTGGCTTTGCACAGCCCTTCCTTACTTAAATCCAATTCACTTTCAAGTCATGGCATCACCTCACTGATGTCATGGTCTTCATCAAGAATGAAGGACAAACAACAATGGCTCTTATCTAAATTCCCCAAAATCTCTCCAGTAGTAAGCTGGGGACAGGGACATGATGGAAACTGCCAGCTCCTCCCATGCCTTCCCAGAATCTTTTTTCCTTCAACCTGAAGTGGGGTTGGCTTCTTTCATCTTCCTTCTCAACTCTAGAAGCCAAAAATGCCCCAAGTGACTTGAAGCTTAAAGAACCCTGAAGACTGGATGAGAACAGAAGCTTTCTTACTTTCACCAACTCTGCCCCACCATTCAAACAGGACAGAGCATTCATTTCCGCCAACAAGAGTCATATACCAGTGGACTTTGGGACTGGGACCACATGAATGTATGTGGGTCCTACAGGGAAGATGTCATTGTCAGTGAGTATAGAAAGGATAAATAGGTTTGTAACTGGATTTGTGGGGAGGCGTCACTTGTAATTGGGAAGGGCATAGGGGAGAACAAAGGATAGGTTGTTCAGAGGAATGGGACTTGGGAAGGTGTGTAGGGAGAACAGAGGGTGTGTGTGTGTGTGTGTGTGTGTGTGTGTGTGTGTGTGTGTGTGTGTGTGTGTGTGTGTGTATGAAGTGTAACTGGGACCCAGGGAAAATGTTTCTGTGAGTCTATGCAGAGGAGAGAGAGGTAGGAATGTATCTAAATCCCTAGGCAGGTGTCATTATATGTGGAAAAACATAGAGAAGAACAAAGTAGAGATTGAAGGAAGGTCCCACTATGTGATGAGGGAGTAAGAGAAGAGAGTAGAATAGAGGAAAAATAACTGAATTCTAGGGGAGGTATCTAGTGTGATAGGAACAGCATTAGCATTGCTAATAAGACTGGTTCCTGCAACATAGGTGAGTTTTTCCCGAAAAAGGAAACGAAATCATCCTAAAGATTGGTCCAAGGAATTATGACTTGAACGATTGATGTAGTTTCTTGGTCATCCTATGGCATAAAAGCCTAGAATATGAATAATTGGTACTTCTCCAGCTGCCATGCAAATCCTGATTGGGCATACAGCTCTATACAGAAGATGAACTGCATCCAAGTGAACCAGTACCATCAACTGAATATCTTTTTCCATGCTATTGTTTAGTAAGCTTCTTTTGTTAAATTTTATATGGTTTATGGGTATATTATTTTGTACCTCTCCTAAGCTAGAACCACCATGTCAGTCTACGTTATATCTGACCCATAACATTTGGCATACTAGCAAGAAAAACAATATGGACTTAAGAACTCTGATCAAAGGAATAATCAACCATGATTCCAGGGCATTGGTAATGAAACATGCTACCTACTTCCTGATACAGGAAGTGATGGACTAAATATTCAGAATATGCAGAACTGTGCATATGTTTTTGGACATGACCAATGTGGGGATTTTTTTTTTGACTATGTATATTTGTTATGGAGGAATTTGTTTTTATTTTTTTTTCCAAACTGGAGAGGTAGGAGATGGGAGCTTTCTCACATCCCTTTTTCCCCAAATTGGAAGAGAATAGAAAGAAGGACAGAAGGAATCACAGGTGAGCAGTATAGTTTTGAATGTTACATGTTCCTTATACCATATTCTTCAATACACTCTAAATGTATATGGCACCTTCACATTAATGATTAGACTATCATTAGACTATTAGAAGAGAAGTAGATTATATATCTCTCACAACTATGGGTAGGTTATATATTCTTAACCAGACAAAAGATAGAGTCAATTGTAAAAGATAAAATAGATTAATTTAATTACATGAAACTGAAAAACTTTTGCACAGACAAAATTAATGTAACTAGGATAAGAAAGGAAGTGGTTGAATGGGGAAAAAAATCTTTGCATCAAATTTCTCTTTTAAGGGTTTGGTATCCAAACTATATAAATAATATACATATCTATATATGTATACACATATACACATACATACATACGCATATATATATGTGTGCATATAGCTAATAGCCAATTAGCCCCAATAGATAAATGGTCAAAGGACATGAACAAACAGTTCTACAAAGAAAAACTACAAAGTATTTAAAATCAAATGTAAGAATGTGCCACATCAATAATAATAATAGAAATATACATAAAAACAATCCTGAGGTTTTACCTAGCACTATGCAAATTGGCAAAGATGACAAAAATGACAATATTCAATGTTGGAGAGGTTGTGAGACAATAGGCATAGTAACACATTGTTGGTAGAGCTATGAAATGGTACAACCATTTTGGAAAGCAATTTGAACTTAAGCAAATAAAGTGATTAGGATGTCTATACACTTTAAACCAGAGACTCCATTACTGAAGCAATCAATAAGAAGAAAGTCCCCCCCCACACCAAAATGTTTATAGAACTTTTTGGAATAATAAAGAATTGGAAACAAAATATACTAACATCCATTGATTGGAGAATGGCTAAACGAATCGTGGTACATGAATATAATGGAATATTACTGTGCTATAAAAAATGATATTTGTGATGAATACAGAGACACATGAAGAAAAATCGACAGGCACTGATACAAAGTGAAATAAGCAGAGCCAAGAATACAATGGACACAATGACTACGACAATGCAAATGGAAAGATAAAACACATACCAAAAAATAAAAAATGGACGTAACAAAATTATATAGATCAAATATGACTCAGATGAGGAGACATGAGAAGACACCTCAACCCACCCCTTTGTGGAGGTGGGAGGTAAACAGATGTCATGCATTGCACATGTTTTCAGACTTCTTCAATTATTTAATCAGTTGCACTGATTTTTTTTCCTCTAAAAACACACTATTTGTTATATGGAATGGCTCTTTGGGAGAGGAAGGGGGAAGATATTGGGGATAACTGTGACAATGTAAGAAACAGAAGACAAATAAAAACTTAATAAAAAAAAGTTACATGTTGAAGCTATTGTATACTTGAAAAGAAAAGCAAGGACTTCCGCTTCCTGGGGCCAAGATGGTGGAGTAAGAACTTGCTCTCATCCTCCCTCATTGACCTCTGAAAACCCAGAATATATTGACCCAGAAAAAACTCTGAGCCAGCAAAAAGACAGGTCACTGTAGTCTTATACCCCAGGAAGCTTGGGGGATTAACAGGAAAGGCCCTTCTTACTCTAAGGGAGGGGGAGCAGAACAGGATTGGAGACATTTCAGCAAGCCAGTGGCAAGCTCCACCTCAGCATAGTAGGGGAGATCCTGAGACTTAGGTTGGTGAAGCAGGTAAGTGCCACACCAGGACACCATCCCACACCCAGAGCCTCAATACAGACAGGAGAACCAGTAGATATCAGCTCAGAAAACCACCACGGGCAATGGTATTCTTCAGCAATCAAATCACCCCGTGCCTTAACACAACTCTGAGAAGCACAGCTCCAGAAGGCAAAGGCTCCAGGCCAACAGATATCCACCAGCAGCAAAACATTCTTGTGCAAGGCCCGGACCAGCAGGCAAAGAAGCTTGGGTAAGTGCCCCCTTTGCTTTAGCAGGACAACTCAACATTTTTTTTAAGTCAGCAAATAGGCAAACATTATGAACAAAAAGCAGAAAGAGAAAATGACCAAAGATTCTTATTTTGGGGAAGGGGAAGATCAAGGCACAAATTCAGAACAGGGCAATATTGTCAATATACCCACATCCAAAACCTCAAAGGAGACTATGAACTGATCTCAAGCCCAAAAAGCTTTCTTGGAAGAGCTCAAGAAGGATTTTAAAAGTCAAATAAGAGAGGTAGAAGAAAAATTGGGAAAAGAAATGAGAGGTATGCAAGACAGAGTCAATAGCTTGGAAAAGGAAGGACAAAAATTAATTGTAGAAAACAAGTTCTTAAAAAGTAGAAATGGCCAAATGGAAAAGAAGGCACAAAAACTCACTGAAGAGAACCCCTTAAAAAGTAAAATGGGCCAAATGGAAAAGGAGGTATAAAATCTAATAGACGAAAACAATGCATTAAAAATTAGAATGGGACAAGTGGAAGCTAATGACTCTATGAGAGAATAAAAATCAGTCAAACAGAAACAAAAGAACAAAAAAAAAGAAAAAAACATAAAATGTCTCATTGGTAAAACAACTGACCTGGAAAAAAATATCCAGGAGGGACAATTTAAATATTATTGGTCTACCTGAAAACCATGATGAAAAAAAGAGCCTGGATAACA